CAATGAGCAGTCGGGCTTTATTTCCTGAAGTATGGACTGGTTGGATCTTCTGGCGGTCCAAGGCACTCTCAGCAGTTTCCTCCAACACCACAATTCAATTCTATATTCCTTCGCTCAGCCTTCCCTATCGTCCAGCTCTCACATCTGCAGGTTACTACAGGGAATACCATTGCTTTAACTATGTGGATCTTCGTTGCCAGAGTGATGTCTCCACTCTTCACTATTTTGTTGAGATTGGTCCTTGCTCTCCTCCCAAGAAGTAAGCATCTTCTGATTTCCTGGCTGCAGTCTGTGTCTGCAGTCATCTTTGCGCCTAGAAATACAAAGTCTGTCACTGTCTCCACGTTTTCTCCCTCTATTTCCCAGTTGTCAATCATTTTTGTTGCCATCATCTTGGGTTTTTTGATGTTTAGCTGCAACCCAGCTTTTGCACTTTCTTCTTTCACCTAGATTAGAAGGCTCCTCAGCTCCTCCTCGCTTTCGGCCATCTGCATATCTAAGGTTGTTATTGTTTCTTCCAGCAATTTTTACCCCAGTCTTGAAGATACTGAGGGCAATATTGGTCACTCTTTATTAGGGGATACCAAGTAGTGAAACCCTGCTGTTTACTAGCCCACAAGTTGTCAGATGCATCCATCTCAAAGATTTTAATCTCTAATCACCTTCTTATCCAACTGCAATGGGGTTGTTGTTGATCCACCAAAATACCGATGGAGCAGGGCCAACCAAGATTGAGCCCAGGAGGAAGGGCTAAAAGAGCTCTTACAAACTTACTATTGAGACACTCAACCTGCTTCGTGTTACCTTGTCCCCATATTTCTGCTCCATATAGCAATTGTTGTGCTTATTTACTTACTTAGGCAATCCCTTGTAGCCTGAGGATGATTGTCCTTCAAGTGCAGTGTCTTGGCAGTGAGTCCATAGGTGGCTGTGGAGCCCTATTCTTGATCCGCATGTTCTCCCGTAGTGAGGACATCTATTTCCAGGCGGAAGGCGGTCCTGGTCAGGCTTGGCTTGATATGCCTTGGCATGTTTCTCCCTGTCACCCTTCAGGCCTCTTTGAATTCTGCAGCACTGCTGGTCACAGCTGACCTCCAGTTAGAGTACTCCAGGGCCAGGGCCTCCAAGTTTTCAGTGTTTATGCCACAGTTTTTAAGGTTGGCTTTAAGCCCATCTTTCAATCTCTTTTCCTGTCCCCCAATGTTATGTTTCCCATTGGGAGTCTAGTAACTGCTTTGGGAGATGGTGATCAGGCATTTGGACAATGTGGCCAGTCCAGCAGAGTTGATGGCAGAGAAGCATCACTTCAGTGCTGGTGGTCTTTGCTTCTTCCAGCACAATGACATTTCTCCTCCTGTCTTCCCAAGAAACTTTCAGGATTTTTCGAAGGCAACACTTATGGAATAATTCCAGGAGGTGAGTGTGATATCTGTAGACAGTCCACGTTTTGCAGGAATATAGCAGGGTTGGGAGGACAATAGCTTTATAAACAAGCACCTTGATATCCGTACGGATGTCCCAGTCCTCAAACACTCTCTGCTTCATTCAGAAAAATGCTGCACTCACAGAGCTCAGGCAGTGTTGTATTTCAGTGTCAATGTTGACTTTTGTGGAGAGGTGGCTGCCAAGGTAGAGGAAATGGTCAACATTTTCTAATGTTACACCATTAAGTTGTATTTCTGGCATTGCAGATGGGTTGGTTGGTGACTGCTTGAAGAGCACTTGGGTTTTCTCAATGTTCAATGACAGACCGAACTTCTCATATGCTTCTGCAAAGGTGTTTAGAGTGGCTTGTAGGTCTTCTTCTGAATGTGCACAGATGATGCTGTCATCAGCATATTGGAGTTCTGTAACAGATGTTGTTGTAACCCTAGTTTTTGCTTTTAGTCTGCTGGGGTTAAATAGTGTCCATCTGTCTGATAGATGATTTTCACTCTGGTGGGAAGTTTCCCATCAACAAGATGGAGTATCATAGCGATGAAGATGGAAAATAAGGTTGGGGCAGCAACACATCCCTGTTTGACACCTGATTCCACCTTAAATGAGTCACTTTCGGAGCCATTGCTGTCCAAAACATGTCATTTTGGGGGAGCTGCAGGATGCCCACAAATTTGTTAGGGCACCCAATTTTTTGGAGAATGGTCACGAGAGTGCTGCGATTCACTGCGTCAAATGTCTTTGCAAGGTCAATAAATGAATTGTGGTAGAATTTTAGCAGTAAAAATCCTAATTGTGGAACATACCAGAGAACCCCTCTTTCTTTTCCCAAAGGCTAGAATTGATTTTGGTGACCTCCAAGCGGATCCAACGTGTTTTCATTTACCCTATTTAAAAGCCTATTTTTAATGTGTCACTTTGCCTCTACACAATGGGATCATGACTCGAAAAAGGTTGGGAACCACTTTTCTCATGGACAGCTCTTCCACGTGGCTCTTTTACTTTTGCATTGGATTCAAAGTGGACACCAATCCAGAGATTGCCTCCTTGTGGCCAATAATAAATAGCTCATGCAGGCTTAATCAAAATACTGAAGGGTTAGAAGGCATAATCATCAAGTCTGCAGACAACACCAAATTGGGAGGGATTGCCAATACCCCAGAAGACAGGAGCAGAATTAAAAACAACCTTAACAGATTAGAGAGATGATGGGCAAAAACTAGCAAAATGAAGTTCAACAGGGACAAATGCAAGATACTCCACTTTGGCAGGAAAAACGAAATGCAAAGATACAGAATGGGGGACGCGTGGCTTGAGAACAGCATGTGTGAAAAAGATCTTAGAGTCCTCATGGGGAGGAAGGTGAACATGAGCCAGGGATGCCATGTGGCAGCAAAAAAAGCCAATGGGATTTTGGCCTGCATCAATAGGAGTCTAGTGTCTAGATCCAGGGAAGTCATGCGCCCCATGCTCTATTCTGCCTTGGTCAGACCACATTTGGAATATTGTGTCCAATTCTGGGCACCTCAATTGAAGGAAGATGTTGACAAGCTGGAATGTGTCCAGAGGAGGGAAACTAAAATGATCAAGGGTCTGGAGAACAAGCCCTATGAGGAGCGGCTTAAAG